GGAACGAAAAAGCACAAGGATAAGTATTTTGAAAAGATCGACAGTCTGGAGTATCCAGGTTGTTTTGCTATGACGGAGCTCCATCATGGTAATCTTTTCCATCTGTACTATTTTGTCAACAAAGTACAGCAACTTTTTTCTTATTTATACTATTAGCAAAGTTCATTAAGATTGCAAGTCATAATATTTACATTTATGTGACTTGTAATATTGAAACATTATCTTGAGTAGATGAGGTTTTCTGCAGAAAAATGTGTTGCCTCATAATTTGTGGAACTTTCTGAAACTATGTATGCGATAGACCCTGTTGAATTGAATTGCAATTGGCTGATCTCGTAATGATTTATGCGGAGGCCACCTAAGGATTTTTGTGGGTTTTCATTTCATTTCTATTTGTCATGATTATGACGTAGAACCAACTCATGACTAAAAAACAAACACAAAACCCAAGAGAACAAATTGTAGATTGTAGTCATTAACTTTTTGTTTTTATGTTTTTATTTTCTGTGAGAGTGTGTCGTGTGGCTGCTTGCTTTTTTTGTGTTTTACTTAACATTTCAAACGTATGTTATTTTCATTTTATAATTACAACATCAACATGCCTTAACTAAACTCTCTACTTTTGTGCTTCAAAGGCTCAAATGTTCAAGGCATCCAAACAGTTGCAACATTTGATCCCATTACAGATGAATTCACAATTAACACACCCAATGATGGGGCCATCAAATGGTGGATTGGCAATGCGGCAGTTCATGGCAAGTTTGCCTCTGTTTTTGCTAAGCTGATGTTGCCTACTCATGATGCTAAAGGTGTCTCTGATATGGGTGTCCATGCCTTTATTGTTCCACTAAGGGATTTGAAGACCCACCAGGCACTTCCTGGAATTGAAATACATGATTGTGGCCACAAAGTTGGCCTGAATGGGGTAGATAATGGAGCATTGAGATTCACTTCAGTAAGAATTCCCCGAGATAATCTTCTTAATCGATTTGGAGATGTGTCCCGAGATGGGAAGTACACAAGTAGTCTACCAACCATAAACAAACGATTTGCTGCCACATTAGGGGAACTTGTAGGTGGAAGGGTTGGCCTTGCCTATTCTTCAGTTGGTGTCCTCAAGATTGCTAACACAATTGCCATCCGATATTCTTTGCTGCGCCAGCAGTTTGGCCCTCCCAAGCAACCTGAAATTAGTATTCTTGATTACCAGTCTCAACAACACAAGCTCATGCCAATGCTGGCTTCAACTTATGCATTTCATTTTGCCACTGTATATTTGATAGAAATATATTCGCAAATGAAAATAACTCATGATGAACAATTGGTTGGAGATGTCCATGCACTTTCAGCAGGCATCAAGGCTTATGTGACCTCCTATACAGCAAAATCATTGAGTGTCTGCAGGGAAGCCTGCGGAGGCCATGGTTATGCAGCTGTCAACCGGTTTGGTACCTTGAGGAATGATCATGACATATTCCAGACGTTTGAAGGGGACAACACTGTACTTCTACAACAGGTTGCACACATCTCATATTATAGGGTCCTTGCTTGAAAATTCACAATTAACTCCTAGGTTGTTATTTGCATAAATCCCGACACCTAAATCCATGGTGCTAAACTCTAGGAGAAGTTGAAAAGATACGAACTGGCCATGTGATGCATTTGTCACTAGAGTGGCAATAGGGTTCATTTATTGAGAAAATGAAATAAGAACTATTATGAACATTACAGACTATCTCTAGAATTTTATGAAAGAATTCTGGTATTGTAGATTACCAAGCACTGTTTCTCTTGGGATGAAAGATTGACTGAATATTTACGTGATGCAGGTAGCTGCTGATCTCTTGAAACAATACAAGGAGAAGTTCCAAGGTGGGACTTTGGCTGTTACCTGGAACTATTTGAGAGAATCGATGAACACATACCTTTCTCAGCCAAATCCTGTAACATCACGTTGGGAAGGTGCAGAACACTTGCAAGACCCTAAATTCCAGTTAGATGCCTTCAGAGTGAGCTCTTATCATTGGTTGTTGCTTAAAAATCACAGGCATAAACATAGCAATCTTCTGTATTGTTTAACTTCTGTGATTTTTCTTCTTACAGTACCGGACATCTAGATTGCTTCAAAGTGCTGCTGTTCGGCTTCGCAAGCATTCTAAAACTCTTGGGGGATTTGGAGCTTGGAATCGATGCTTGAATCACCTTCTCACGCTTGCAGAGTCCCATATCGAGTCTGTCATCCTTGCAAAGTTCATTGAAGCTGTGGAGAAGTACCTCCCAAACTCATCTACAGAACTTTCCATTTTATTCCCAATTAATTAGTTTCTAATTTCCCATTTTATGCGCCAGATGCCCTGATCCAAATTCGCAGGCTGCTTTGAAACTTGTCTGTGATCTTTATGCCTTGAATCGAATCTGGAATGACATAGGAACCTACCGAAACGTTGACTATGTGGCGCCAAACAAAGCTAAGGTATTCAATTGTCTTCCAGGATAGAAAAAAAATCAGGATGTTTTGAACCTAATGCCATATGGGTGTTACGGCATTTTGCTTCTGCATTTTAGACCATTAATATGAGTTGGCTCAAGGAAAACATGTAGGTCTCCTGTATGCTTTTGGGAGAAAATCTAAGTATATCTGAGGTATGCTTGGTTGGTTTTCATTCATTATACTTTTTCCTTGGGCAGGCAATCCACAAGCTCACAGATTACCTAAGTTTCCAAGTGAGAAATATTGCGAAGGAGCTTGTAGATGGATTTGATCTTCCTGATCACGTTACAAGGGCCCCAATTGCCATGCAGTCGGAAGCATATGCTCAGTACAAGCAGTATGTTGGGTTCTGATTATAATAGAAAGCAAACTGAATGGAGTGTGGTGGGTGTTATTTTGTAAATTTTATTTATTAAAATAATATTATTTTATTTTTAAATTATATTTTTAATTTCAGTATATCAAAATAATAAAAAAATATATAAAAAATTTAATTTAAAAATTCTTTTAAAAAAAATTCATGAAAAGGAATTATAATTGCAGTCCTAAGCCAATGTCAACAATTGCAGCTGCCCAGTTAGGGGACGAAAGGGTTGAGTTTTCTTATTCATTATGGCTGCCATTGGTGGCTCATTTCATCTCTTTTGGGTCAAGGTTGAAAGATTCTCAGAAATGCCAAGTTGGCATATACTCGGGTGGATATGAATAATGTGGTCACCATTGAAAGAACTAAACATTGTTGTAATTTGTTCAAAATCAAAAAAGAAAAACAAGAGGTTTATTTATAAACTTGTGTGGTGCTTGCTTGTTATGAATTTTTTCTATTTAATTTTATCGTTTAGTATTGTTTTATTTGAGTTTTGGGTTAGTAATTTATTTTAATTTATCTTTATTAATTTAAAATAATTATTCTGATATTAAATTGATATTTGATTTTATGAAAAAAAATATTTTATTATTTGTAAGAGATTGAAAATAAGAAGATCAAATTGAAACAAAGAAAAATAAAGTGTTTTTTTTTTTTAATTATGGTGTTAACTTCATTTTTTTTTTAATCATTGATTTTTTTTTAATTTTATCTTTCAAAGTTATATTGGTTAGAATTTAAAGTTAATAATTTGTTTTAATGTATTTTTTATATAATTTTCTTAATCTAAAAAAACAATTCTCAACATTTAGTGTGCATGATGTTACAAAAAAAAATAATTAATTTTATTGTTTGAGAAAGATTGAAAATAAAGAAATTAAATTTAAAACTAAGAAAGAATGAGAGCCTTTTTATTAAATTATATTAGCACTTTCTTGCCTGGTTTAGTTTTGTATTGGTATTGTTTCAAATCTTCTTTTTGATTCTTTTAGTTTGACAATTAAATATTTTAATTTTAATTTTAATTTTTTTATTATAATTTTTAAGGTTGTAAGAAGAGAGAGAATCACTGAAAAAAGTGAATTAAAGAGAAAAAAATCGGTTAGTTGGATTTTGTTTAAAAAAAAAGATAAATTTAATGTCAAAGTGCTTATTTTGATAACAAAATGTTAGTGAGATGTTTCTATGTTTCTAAGTTATTGAAAAATATAGATTAAGATTTGATTTTATATTTTTTTAATCAATTTTGGTGTTTTTTGAGTTAAGGAATTAGTAGTAGGAGTGTCTTTAGATATTTTTGATGAAAATGTATAAAAATTAGATTTTTTGGATAAATAAATACCCTGCTCAATTTTCCTATCACATGTCTGGTGGTTGAAAATTAATTTTGTAAACAATGTGTTATTTATTTTAAAAAAAAATTAAATGAACAGCATGTTTGCTAAATTTTGAGGGAAAAAAAGCCTATCTACCTTTTTTATATAATTTTTTAAAATTATTAAATTAAAAATATATTTTAGATATTATTTTATTAAATTCCATCTAATTTTTACTTTTTTTCAAGTTCAATAATAAAAATATTTTTATTGTATTAGTGTAATTTTTTTTGCGGTTTTTTTTTTATTGTTTTGCTACAATCACCTATTTTTGCAATAATGTAATTTAATAAAAAATGATTTAAGAAAATAAACTTATTAAATCTATTTAAATCCATGATTTTGATGGCTAAAATAACAGGTTTAATTGAAACAATCAAAATATTATTATTTTTAAATTTTTTTTACAACAAATAGTTATTTGATCTATACGCCCACAATAAATTAATATTTATATAGTTTAGCTTGAAATTAGAGTTTGGTAAAAATTTCATGTCAGGATCTACATGTAACTATGGGATGTTGTCACCCGTTCAGCTGTACCTTCTCTCTTGCAAGTTGCATGGCTGGTTAAATTTTCTAAGGAGTTAACAGGTAACTGTCCGTACTGTAAAAAAGACTAGGCATCATTCACTCCCCACATTAAATGCAATGGAGTTCACTTAACAGCAAAATGCAGCTAAATGATGCACATTAAGAATTCCGATAAAAATATTAAAATAATATTAATTTAAAATAAAATAAAAATTCAAAAAGCCACGCCAAGTTGAGGCAATGAACTTGATTAACCTTCACTTTCTTTTAACACACCTCAACCAAGGTGAGGCAATTTGGAACTTGGCAGAAACAGCAGAAAAAAGAAGTTGCAAGCAGTCAACAGCTTCAACTACAGAACAGTGTTGCTAGGAGTATAACAAGAAGCGCTTCTCCAGTTGCAAATTTACTCCAAAACAAGAAATATTCTATACCTTCTCGAAAGCGCTTTGGAACCACTTTGCATTTACAAGTTTCTATTTCCAACAACAAACTTAGAAAGCTTATATGTTCTAATTACATAATAGTTAACACCTAAGTGGCCTGCAATTCGAGTACGCTACTCGAGCTGCTTCAGTTTTCTGTCTGATGTCCTCGTGCATTTTCAATGAAGCCTCAGAAAATTTGTTCAGTCTATCAAGAACCTTTGTCAAACTGGCGTGTATGCAGTACATGTTCGAGGCCACATCATCATTCCTGTCATTCTCTTTCCCCCCTGATTCTCCATTATTTACATCAACTACTTTCTCTTCCTTGTGTAACTGCTCTTCTTCTTGTTCCATTAGGTGGTACAAATCAGATAGGAGGGTTTTGATGGCATTATTAAGTTCTTCAGATGGCAAACCTTTGATCCCAGCTGACCAATCACGACAGAGAACAAATAAAGGTGGTGCCAAGAGTCGGCGAGGGGAGAATGGCCTCCTACTCTTGGAACGCTCCTGTGGTTGCAGGATGCAATTTTGCAGCCACCCATTTAGAGCTTCCACATAGGATGCATGGCTGTTAACCCAGTTTGCAAAGCTTAAGCCAAAGCACTCAACCTCCTGCTGGAGCTGAGCCATAATCTGCCTACGGGTATTTCCTTGTGGAGTTCCTGTTACACTCCTTGAATGGTATGCTAATGAGATTGTGATGTACTGTGCATGATGGCATTCAAGCATGTTCTTCCACATCCTGATCAACCTGCATAGGCTCACTGGTCATTGATATATTAACGAGAATAGAGATTAATCAACACATTTAGTTCATAATGAATCTCAAGAGTTACACATCTTAAGATAACATGAGATGCGGCTACAGTAAAGCTCTATGCTTAATTATATTAGGAAGTGTTTAGCAGTTGTTTTTTAAAGTAATTTTCACTAAAAAATATATCAAAATAATTTTTATTTTATTTTATTTTTTTTAAAATTGACATCATTAAATTAAAACGATCTAAAAACACAAAAAATAATTAATTTGAAGAAAAATATTATTTAAAAAAAACACTTTTAAAACCTAAAAACAAACAAGCTCTAAATACTTACCCTTGAATTAATTCTAGAAGTTGCGGCTGCAACTCTTCATCCCTCATTTTCTCAATCCGCTTCGATATTGAATCTACAGAGTGAATTGCCACTCTTATGCGTGAATGTAAATCCTTTACAACTGCACGGGTTTTATCAATCACATTAGCACTTTGATCTTTGGCAAACTGGTGTCTAAGCTGGTCACACCTCCGATCATACTCTCTCCTGATAGATTCACTGGCCTAAAGAGACAGAATTGTCAGTGAGATTTACATAAAAGAGGCAACAGTAAACTTGGAACGGCCTTAATAACTAGGAAACTATCAAGGACAGCTAAGAGCATCCACACTAATGCTCTTTAAATTTTAGCTAAATTTCAACTAAAATAGTTTAAAAAATCATTTTAGCTAGCTAGATAAAAAAAAAATTATTACATTCATGCTCTCTAAATTCTAGCTACTAACTCAAACTTTCCAACTACTTGTTATGAGCAGTACAATTATACGACCCATAGATAAAAGTCACGGCAAAGATAGTTCCCAGTAATATCACAAACTTTCCAGCTACTTGTTATGAACAGCAGCATTATATGACCCGTAGACAAAAGTCACACAGCAAAGATAGTTCCCAGCAATGTCACAGAGTTGACAACGAAAATATTGAGAATGTGTTTGTAAAATATGCACTTGAATAAAATCCTTCCATAAAACCCATATCCTTCCCTTTTTAGGATGAAACATTCATTTTTAGTAGACAGAAAATATGTGGACAACTGATAAATCAGGAAAATTAAACTAACAGCAAAGCAAAGTCATTAGACTCGTAACACCATCTGAAGTAAAAGAGTCATTGAACTGATCAACATACCTTAAAATGATTAAACAGCGAGGATACCTCAATGACTAGCATGGTCACTAACTTCTAAGTATTTTTAGCATAATGGTTTATCCAAGGTTGGTCTCATTTGAATTGAGAAAAGGAAAAACAGTAAAACAATAACGTCACCTCTAATGCAGTTTTAGAGAGCAGTAAAGCTGGAAATTCTTGAGCATAACAAAAAGAAAGCAGAGATTCTGAAAATCCTAAGTTGTACGAGCCAACTGCCTCAATAAGCTATTACATTGCCCATGCTTCATTTGCTACAGTCTTCTTTTTAGTTACAAGCTAAATAAGCTGATCAAAATTAGACTTCAACAAGTTTTGGTAACAATCTCGAACATTAAACAAAAGGGACCCAATAACCATCCAACTTCAACTACTATAACACAAGATTACACCTTTAACAATGGTTGGTGAGGTTAAGAAAGAGGAATTGATAATAACAGAAGAGACACAGTACTTGAATCAGAAAAAAAAAAAAACACCCCAGAACACCTAGTTTGACTAACTTATCATGAACACTAACACATCTCAGATATCTTTCCTGTACTTTATTACCAATCTTTTTGGAAGCAACTGGTACAAAAATCAAATGAAGTTAATCACATACCAAATTTCAAGTGGAATACATTGAAATGATACAGCCCACCAGATTGTTCTTCCTACCCTATCGAAAAATCCTTGTTTTGTAACTATCTAATCTAACTGATCGACACAGTAAATGATGCTAATTCAACCCAAATTGCTCTTCCTACCCTAGGCTAACCATTTTACAAGCACTAGCTATTTCAATTAGAACGAAACAAATTCTCTCAATTTCAGGTAAAAAAATTAACAAATTGATAAACTAGGAGTGATTAAATGCCTCCAGGCTGCACCAAAACCAACACCCAATTAGCACCAAAGCTTCCATAGAGAACCCTTTTCCTCTTCATTTTGCTAGAATAACTAGCCAAGTAGAGAGCGATGATACTTTGCTTTTTTTCATTTTCACTAACTATTATAGCTAAGGATTGGGTTTGGCTAGCATGAGTGTGGATCCTCTAAGTCAACCCAATCTTCAAGACAGATGCAACCACAGTGGATTCAGACATTCTTGTGCCTCTCTCTCTCATAATTGGAAGAAATTAGTGCCAAGTTAGCGATTCTTGGCCTCATCTAAACTCCTCTGTAATAACAATTGGCTGACAGATTTCAGATTAGATTTGTGACATTTGAAAAAGGGTTATGTGGCGTGTATATCATGGCAAAGCCCAAACTTTTTTTGGGGGGGCTTAATTTATACACACTTGGGCGTGCACAAACATAATTCTCAAACAATAATGCTTAGAATTGTGCACAAGGTTTGGTCCATCAGGGAGGTCACCTTTCGAAAACAGCATACTCTGGTGGGAGAGCACCAAATTCCTTTAAGAATGAGACCCCAAAGGATTCACATGGTTGTCAGTTATAGAGAACTAGAGTTCAGTTAATAACTTGCTATTACAACTCCTAGGTGTGCATGGGTTGTTAAATGATACCACAAACACATATAGTGATGTTTTGAAGGAAACAATGGAAGATCCTAACTGCCACAGAAATGATTGTCCAAGTCCCCAAGAGGCTCCTATCAAATAATCATCTATTTTAATTGCCTTAACAGTATACTAAGCCTCCCCTTAACTGCCGAGCTTGACTTCATCCCCATAGACAATGCAATTACATTTAAAGTACGTATCAACAGTTTCGCCTAACAACACTATAGAGTGTTATTAAACCAATAACAATTCAGAGCTATTCCAATGTGAAGATGTTCAAAGAGTGGGAGATTAAATCCAAACTACCTCGGTACAACCAACTGGTAAGCAGATTAGTCATTTGCCACCTTTTTTTTTATCATGCACACCACGCCTTTTTTTGTATACGCATTGACCTTCTGTTTTTTGATAAGCTGCAGACCACACTCCTTTCCAACCAGAAGAATAAAAGCAGTTCAAAGACTGATACAAAGGCCCACAGCCAAGATGCAATGAGGCTTATTCACCCTAAGCCCCTTAACCACTACACAAAAAACCTAAGCGGCGTGACAATAGCAAAGGCATCATTCAATGCGGATTAGAACAATGAAATTATGTCTTTGCCCTTAAAAAAAAATAAGTGTAACTAGCCGTGAGGTAAAATGATCTTTTTACGCTATTCATTTGTCATTCTAAAATTGTTAAGACCCAACTCAGTCAGTTCACAATTCTTTTGCATAATAAAATTACTTGAATACCCTTACAAAAAAAAAATAGCCTGGGGACGCTCTTAGTGTAATGACCCAAAACTTAACTATAGACTGGGGACGCTCTTAGTGTAATGACCCAATTGCCCTTGGAAACAAAATTCTCAATGCATGGCTTCAGGCTTTTTCTTTTTTTGTAATTTCATAAAGGTTTTTTTGTAATATTTTATTTGATAGGGGCAATATATTGTAATTTAAATAATAAAATAAAACAGAAAAGCTATCGACATGTGTGCTACATGCATCAGCGACTTCACCACCTTCGGACAATGCATGCAGTTGACTTCAATTATAAAAATTGTTGTTCTGTCACATCATTTGATTCATCTCGGCATCCTTTTCCTTCCCGAGAGGTGCGATTCTGGTTGGATTATCTTTTTTCCCTTCATTTCTCTTTTCAACTCAGTTAGCGTGTAGCTCCTCCTTACAAAATTCATAGCAGCCCTTAATTTTCTTTTTCCTTTCAGATTTAGTCCATGTTCTTTTAATTGTAATTTTTTTTATTTAAAATATTATTTCAAATTAAAAATTATTTTCAATTTCATCCTCCATCAATTTTTTCATCTCTCAAATTTGACCTTTATTCTTTTGATTGCTATTTTTTTTTATTTAGGATGATTTATAAAAATAAATTATTTTTTTTGTGATTTTATTCTCCATTTTTTTTCCACTGGGTTTGATCCTTATTTTTTTTATTGTTATTTTTCTGCTCTGACAAGTTTTTTAGATTACTATTTTTTCAAATTCATCCTTCAACATTAAATTGATTAGGGATCGAGCTTTTTGATTTAACCCAGGTATGAGATTTCATGGATTATGATTTTGGAATATTAACCCAAATTTAAAAAATTCACCTAGGTTTGCTTAGTTTTTATGCTATTAAATTAAAGATGCTTTTTTATGTTATTAAATTAACCGAACCTATTAAACTCAGTCTATTCAATGACCAAAGTCTCAAATTTCTTTTACTTCTTTAGAAATCCTATTATCACCTTAACCTTGTTCTTTTTTATGTCCGAAGATTTTGGCATGGCTCGTGGCATTACACTAGTCATTGATATAAGTTTAATTTATTTATTTTTTCTATTCTCAGTTTTTGATAATCATTTCATTATAATTGAGCTTTTTAATTTGTTTTGATGTGGGCTCTATAGTTTTATCACAATCTCACACCCCATATCATGAGTTTCACAAGTTAACTATTGTTGCTTAGGTCGATCCAATATGCCAGCAGTCTCAATATATATTTTTTTAAAAAAATATATTGTCCAATATATCACCATTTAAGTATTTTAAAAGTGTTCCGGCCATTAAACATCAAATTTTTGACTTCCTAACATCTTAACATTTTTTTATGTTGAAAAAAATAACCAACCCGCTGGCCAAAATGCTAGTTTAGACTAAGGTCTCCAATTGCCACAGAATAGACTATAAAGCCCAACCCACACCTTGCCCAGCCTAGTAAGAAGAGTCTCTGGGATCAATGATCATTGGAGGGGGGCCAGAGGTTAAGCCACATCTTTTTAGGCTGCAATGGTGATTTGGTCATAATCCAAAAGAGGAAAAAGGAGCTAGACAGAACCAGAAAATTGATGGTAAACCAGGCTCTACATAGAGAACCATTAAACCCACAACCGCGACCCCTTTGGCCTTATGCCAGCTTCCTTCACCAGCTTCATCTCCTGTACCATTCAAAATCCACATCCCAGAACGTTTGAGGGTGAGGGAAGACAGAAGTTGCTCCCATCAAAAGCCCACATCTGAGAATCCTAACAATAAGCTACCTAGATCAAGACCTCTCAGACATGCACAACAGCCATCCATATATCAACCTAGAACTGCAACAGGTTATCACAGTCAAAACACCATTCAAATAGCCCTTCAAGGTGGATGAGCCCAAGTGTACTGGATGAGTTTATTTTGAAAACAACAACAAGAACTGGTAACATTTATAATATTCAGGAGGGGGAAACTGTAGGTCCTACTTCCTAGGGACAAAAGCAGGGGTTCGACCAAGGAAAAAGGTGGAGGTGGGAGGGAGAGACAAAGCCATTGGAGAGGAGGTGCAGGGGTGGAGAGGAAAATTACAAAAGACATTTTCCTGTGAAAAAGAAAAGAAAAGAAAAAAGATTGAGGAGTAACTTGTATTGATCTTTGAAGCATCCGTCTGTCATATTCAATCCATTCTTCTCTACCTATTTACTATCAATAGAGTAACACAATTTTCCTTTAGATATACTATGAACATGTATTTACGAAAATTGTCACATGCATTCAAATGATTTTCTACGTGACACAATAAAGATTCTATGTGGTAATCAGCATCTAATTATGGAAACATGCCCATAAAAATTTTGATATGATATGAACACCTTAAATTGATATGCCCTGAATATTGTCAAAACACACTTTCCTGTCATATAGTGTCATGTAAAGTCAAGAGGATCAAGAAGAAAGAAAATGTATGCAAGAAGAAAGGCTTAAAAAAGTACCTTTATTTCATCATAGAGTTTTCTTTCCCATGCATACAGTCTGTCAAGGGTGGAGGAATGACTCCCTGCAATCATGCAGAACTCTTCAACAAAATCACTACCACTATCTGAGGCATCATCTTTTGTTGCCGTGACAAGAGGATTTCTTGATGAAGATGACCTCGAAGATGTTGTCCGTTTCCATGTAATGATCTTAGTCATATGTTCAACAGGTTCTACAAAAGCATCAGAGATTCAACATAATGGGAAGAAATATGAGAAACAAATTAAGAAAGTTGTTTAAGTCATCAAAATCACCACAGGTTCTACTAGACAATTCGTGAATTCTTCCTCAATATTAGAGCTAACGATTGAATTGTCCCACAAAAACGAAAAACTCATAAACATTGACTCACAGAACAGAAGCTAATCTTACCATGAGAAACAAGTGCAGTCTTTCCACGACAGCAAACAAATTTTACAGCCACCAAAATTGCAGAGGCAGATGACCCTCCTATGAGAATTGGACTTGTTATACAACGTTTGCAGAAATGTTCAATAACTGAAAAAAAAAAAAAGAAGCACCAACAAGCATCCAAGGCACTGGAATTGCCGTGGACAATAAACATGCCAACTGTAACTCAGCCATGTAAAGTCAGTAGTAAACCTTTTGCCTCAGAATATCCAACCCTGATATTGTTTGCCTCAAGCATTCTGGAGACCTCCTTCCCAGATTCAGATGCTCTAAAGAAGCGATGCTCTATATCCTTTACGCTTGCAAGAAAATCCTTAGCTCTATGCGTAATGAACTCCGATGGATCCTCTCTTTCTGTAGACAAATTGTTCACTGCTACTGCTTTCTCTCTCTTTGAACCTGATTGTTCAAGAGTGGAAACACTGGCGTTTTGCCCCTCTTCTACATGCCTGACTTGACCAACAAATTCTTGTCTACTAGAACCTTCAACTCCTCTCAATTCAAACGAGGGGGCAGTGCCTTTCACTCTAGAGTTATAACTGCCATTTTGAGTTAACGAATTACCAGAACTTTCAACCCCCTTATGCTCCACACCAGGCGTCAGAGTTTCTTCATGTACTTGACTCTTTCCGTCTAAACCAACTTTTGTCCATTTTCCTTTTGCATCTACCACACTTTGTTCAACACCAACCTTTTCACCCCCAAACTCACTCCACCCACTCATATTATCAAAATCCATATCCAACTCACTATGCCTAACAAGTCTAAAACTCTCACCATTATCGCTCGGATAAAAAAAATCCCATGAACCAGCTAACTCAAAAGGAGGTGGCGGCGGCGGCATTGGCATAGAGAACCCCAATGTCTCATCCTCTACAAAACCACCGCTATTATTCAAATTAAACTGAACAGTCACTGCATTACCACCTCCACCAGCTCTCATATAACTCATGTTCATCACTGGTGGTGAAATAGGACTCTCAAAGTGCAATGGTGAATCTGAGACCTCTGCATTGTGAGAGGGAGAGGGAGAGAGGTACGAGGAATGTGATGGAGACTTGTCAAGCTCAGTAGCTGAGGTTGTTGATAGAGAAGAATCTATCAAAACCTCTGCTTCAGCGAATCGTCGGAGAGCCACACCAAAGTTTTTAAGAGAGTTTATGTAGGAAACATGAGCTGCTGCAAGATTGTACCTTGAATCAATCGCTTGCTTTATGAACTTCCTCCGTTCCTTGCACAGAGCCAAAGGTTCAGTTTTGTCTACTTTGGAGCCTGCAGAACCCATTTTTGAGCCAAAATATTAAGACCCAGTTCATAAAATTAACTCCATTTCTCAAGCCTGTCAACAGAATCTCTTCAAATGAGGCAATGGCTTCCACAGAAACCAAACTTTGCACTACAAATGCAACACGTCTCTAAGAACCACACTTGGAAAGACCCAAGAGTCTAAGGAAGCGAAAGACACAGAAGGAACATGAAAAAGCTAAAACCTTTCACCTGAAAACCACACAGCCTTGGTCAAGAAATAGAGCAAAAACAGAAAAAAAAACTTTTCCAAGCCACAAGAGCACAAAAGGGTTTTACTCCAAGAAACAAAAAACCCACTTGAATAAAGCTTTAATTACAAGAGAGAGACAATACCTGGGCAATGAAAAATGAAAATGAAGAAGAAAACTTTCAACATACTTTTTCTTAATGAAGAAAACAAAACAGGGTAATAGCAGAGCAAGTAGCTGTTTTAGAGGAAAGAGGAGTAGTTGGGAAGTCACAAAAATCAAGCCATTAACGGAAACCTGAAAGATTATTTATTGAAAGCAATGAATGCAAGTAAGGCCCTGAAGCGTATCAGTCACAGAACTTCAAAAAGGGTAGATTTTGTACAGTGAGAATGAGAGAGAGAAACAAACTGAAATGATGGAAAATGCACAGAAAGCAAATACAGAGAGCGAGGAATCTGCAAAAGCTGATACAGAGAAGAAGAGAAGGCAACCCTCGTTTTGTGTGCTTAAGAGGAATGGTGGTAAAAAGAAAAGCAAGGCTGTAGGTGGTATAGATTAGTCCTCATAGGTTCACAAATTTTCAGGAATGAATTCCATCTAAATTTTATAATATATATATATATATATATATATATTATAAAACAATTATATCAATTACATTTAATTTATAAATTTTAATGCTTTTTATTAAAAAAATGTGAAGAGTTTGGATAGAATATTTAATTTGAGATTTTTTAATATTTAAAGATTTAATTAAGAATAAAGCTCGATAATAGTATTACTTAGTAATTTATTTTATTTATTTTTAGGTTTACAAAAGAAAAAACTAGGAGGTATTTTTTATTAAAATAGTATTTAGCATTGCATTTCAAAAGTTTTTTTAAAAAAATTAATTTTTTATTTTGAATTAATATATTTTTTATATTTTTAAATTATTTTAATATGTTGATGCTAAAAATAATTTTAAAAAAATAAAAAAAATATTATTTTAATTTATTTTGAAATAAAAAAATACTTTAAAAAATAAATACTATCATATTCTCAAATAAGTTCATCAATAAACTTTGGCTTTAATTGCAGTTTCAACGTTTCAAAAAATTTCAATTCAGTCTCTCCATCCATTTTTATTTTCATCCAAATTTTACTTTACAAATAAATGACTTCTTTTTGTAGGAAAAGTAGTTTTCTATTAGAAGTTTGTGGAAATGGAATGAAGAACTAAATTGGAATTCTTTGGATATTTAAGCATCCAGTTATTGAAAAACATTTCTCTATCGCCCTATTATGATCCACAGTTGGGGGATTTTTTAGGTTTTTCTATATATATATATATATATAAAAGCTGAGATGATAAAATCTCTTTACTAAATAAAAATATATTAAAATATTTTTTTAATTTTTAATATCAACCTATTGAAATTATTAATAAAATATTTCTTATATACCCCCATCTCTTCTTACTTTTTATTGGAAAATGTGAAGTATATTAACGGAATTACCCTTAGATTTTCCCGAGGAACTGTCTAACGGCTCCTTAAAAACCGGTTTTTAGGGAATTGTCTCACCTTTTCCCTGTGAAACATATATTGGTATTGAAAAACTATTCTCTATTTCGGATACAATTTGATTTCTTTTAAGGAAATTCCAAGGTACTTTTTGGCACGAGCGAGAGATTAGTCATTAGGGCATCATATGCCCATTTTTTTGCAGTAAAATCATGGTGAATAGTTAAATCTTAAAAAGCGGGTTCATCATGCACTCAACGAGTCACTAAACATGGATTAAAGGTAGTAAATTTTTTTTTCCTAATTTTTTGCTTATGTTTTTGTTGGGTTTGTTTAACTGGCTAATAATAATGGGTCTCAAAATACATGAAAGAAAGTATTTAAAAAAAAAAAAAACTAGGTATGAAGATGTTCATCCCACATAAATCTATAAAAAAATCACCATGTTTGTGTTTGTGTTAGGATCAAAGTTAAAAAAATATTTAAGAATGTAGTTATGTTTATTTTTTGAAATGTTTTTAATTCAAAAATATATAAAAATTATTTTTTTTATTTTAAAAAAATTATTTTTAACATCAATATATAAACATAATCTAAAATATATTAATTTGAGATAAAAATATTTATATTTTTTAAATACAAAAAGCCTAAAATACCTCACCAAGCTAGGTTAATTACTCATAATACAGCTAAAAAACACGGTGTGTTGTTGCTTTGAGGATCTAGTGGCTGAATATTCAAGAACATAGAATAAAAAGGATAAAAAGAGACTGTCTAATTGTTCATTGCTCTTTTTCTTTTTTCTTTTTTCTTTTTTTAATTGGGACAGAATCTTTAATGAACAGGAAAGTTGTCTGTGGGCATGGAATGTCATTTAGCAATTGATGGCTTTATTGCTCTGCTCATCTTCAGTCGCGGCGTTTTGCATAAATTTATTGGCTCCTCAGAACATGCTCAAAAGGAGGGGATGGGCCCTCAGCAGATAAGCCAAAATATATATTATTTTAAAATTTTAAAAAAGAAAAAAAAAAAGTTTGATTACACTTGTTATGTACGTGGTGCACATGCATTCTGCTAGACATGCTTTTCAAGCTGAGGAATGTCATTTAGAACATCGTAATTCTAATTATAATTACCAAAAACATTAAGCTTTACTTGACATTTGCATCCAATCATGTTTTTTAAGAAAATTAAAATTATTTTTTAGCTTTAATTTAATTATTTTAATATTTTCTAATTTTTTAATATTTTTTCAAACAAAATACACGTTAAAAAATAAATGTAATAATATTTCCAAACAATCACAACATAGGATGATGGTTTTTCTAAAGATTCTCTACCACAGCATTATTTGCTTTCCTAAAAAGCTTGGAAGAGTGCTTTATAGTTTTTTAATCTTGAAGTCTTTAGTCTTTAGTCTTTTTTAAAACAAAATAAATCATCTTTGTACACGATGTTAATTTGAATTTGAGCCTAATAATGTTTTTTGATGTGTTAAAAAATCTAAATATTTTTTTGATACTTAATTTTGTAAGGAAAAAAATTAATTTTATTTGTCAAGAAAATTAAAAATACAGGGACCAATTTGATATTAGGATTTAAATTTTTATTATTATTATCCGAATCACACCATTTTTACATTTTTGCCTTCATAATTGTTTTAATATTCATTTTGGCCTTCTTGGTTTTTGCAATTTTCTTTACTTATTTTTTTGATCTATAAGTTTGAGAGGGGAGAGAGAAAAAATAATTGGAAAATAACATGAGAAAAAAATGTTGATTATTGGACAAATTCCAGTAATAAAATAGGTTATTTTTTTTATACCAATGAGTTATATTTGATAAAAAAAATTCATTTAAATATTTTTTTTATCATTTATCTTGCTAAATAAAGCAAATTACAGTTGATAAATAATTTTTTTGGGACTTACCTTTGTGTTTTTGGATCAACTTATGGGATATTTTGAGTTGAGAAATTGATATTTCTAAGAGTTTAAGACCTATAATACCTTCTTGTGTTGATAACGGTTGTTGTTGCCTTACAAAAATTCAATCCTAATTAAAAATTAATTATCAATATAATCATTGACATCAAACACTACAAACTCATTTGATCCAGGGTTTGTAACAACTAGGGGACTACAACAGTATGTAAATAAGATAACCCAAGTTAATTCTATTCAAATATTTACTTTCGGTTTGATCAGTTTCATAAAAATAGAAATTATAATAAAAACTAAATAAATAAGCTACCTGTGGGGGCAAGGGCAGAGGCAATGCAAAGGTTTGGATGAGCTATAATTCAAGATTTTATTAATAATTTTTTTACTAGTTTTATATAAAAAAAATTATAATTCTTTATTGAGTTATTAAAATTTTAAAAAAATTTATGTGGAACCTTCTAATGTGATGCTTTAACTTGGTTTAAAATTTCAGAATTTTTTAAAAAAATCAAAAATTTGATAAAAAATCACAATTTGACTAATTTTATATTATTAAGTGTAATTTTCAATCCGATCATCAGATTGAGCTAAAATGCTACGAAGGGTCTTAAAACATATTGAATAAAATTTAATTAAAATTTTAGGATAAACAGAGTTTGATAGTGATAACAAAAAAAAGACTGCCAAATAAAAACAAAGCAACTCATTAAGGATAAATGATTATTTGCTATAAAAAAATAAAATAAATCAATTTTTCTTTTCTTTTATATGTTGACAACTAGGCAAAAGCAGAATAAAAAAGAGAGGAAAAGAAAAGGTGAGAGGGAAAAGTATGGAAAAAATATAAAAATAAATCCAAGAAAAAAATAAAAAAAAGTAAGAGAATAACTTTATAAACTTATAAAGTGTAACTCATAAAATACTAACCTAAAAAAGAATTAAGTGAAGAAAAGAGGATTTGAGAGAAAGAAAAAATTCAATTATTTTGTTTTTCCGTCTATATAAGATTCTTATTTTATCTAGATTGAAGAGTTGTTATAATATCGATTTAGATTTGGTTGTAAATGAATTATATTACACAAAATATTGAAATATATAACTTTAATAAGGAGTTTATTTTTATTTTTACTTTAATTTTATGTGCTTTCAAATTTATTTTTTAATATTCTGAGTAGTATATTTAAATTAAAAATTTATTATTAACTTTAAAATTTTTTATATAAAAATTAATAATTTATTTTTAAAAAATTATATATTTATTTAATATATCAGGTAGAAAATGTTTTTTGACTCCATCCTTACGTGGAGGGATTCACGATTTGTTTGAGTTTTGGTAGGTGTAGTTTCCTGAACCTTTTCTTTTGCATGTTATTTGGAGATACAAATAAGAGATGGGAATTTTTTTTTTTTTAAATGAAGGTATTAAATGAAAACGAAAAGGAAAGGAATGAAAATAATACTTTCTCTTCGTATGAAAAGATTATTGACTTTTAATGGATATGCTTGAGTAACACTCCTTCAGCTTGTAATTATTTCCCTTTCTGTCGTTCCTTTTTCTCGTCTTTTCCTTCCCAAATTATAATAAAAACTTAAGGATCAAAATAATTCAAGGGAGTTCCTCGCATCTATAACTACAAGATCGATCCCCATGAAACCCAAAAGGCATTGCCTTTTTTTTTATTTTATTTAAAGGGTTTGACTTTATATGATATAATCGAAACTAGTTTATATATCTTTAGTGTAGCTAATGAGAAATATCTGCAAATTATAGTATATAATAACATTAGCCTTTATTTAGAACATTTGCTAATTATAGTCATGATTCATTATTAGGAGGACAAAACCTAGTAATTTTTTTATTATTATTAATTATAAGTATTTAGATTAGTTTACACACATTTTAATTAATGTTTTGAAATTATAAAGTTAATGACCATATAAACCTTTAAAAATTATGAGATTTATAAAACTCGAACTGATAATATATGAGGAGCAAATCCAAAATCTAATCAGATAAGTTACACTTTTTAGATTTAAAATCTAAGTAATTTTATTAGATTTATTTTGTAGTTATAGTTATATTTTTTG